AAATTTTTTAATATATATATACATAATACATAATATTATGTATGTTATGTTATGTATTATGTATGTATATATTATATATATATATATATATTGATTTGACTAAAATGTTTCATATTTCAATGTGAAACAAAACAAATTTTAAAAAATTTTTTATTTTTTAAGTTGCTATAATTTATAATACAAATATAATTTTTCACAATTAATATATTCAATATTATTGTCATTTCATAATTTCCTGTTCATCATATTTTTTATGATATTTTATAAGAAGAAAATAAATTTATATATATATATATATAAATTTATTCTCTTATATATATATAATCTTATCTTTTATTGCATTAGTACAAAAACATTTCTTTGTTTGTTTAATGTATTACATTCTCTATTGATGTTATCACATCAAAAGAAAACAATTTACTATCTTCTAATTAAAATATTGAAATTATTAGAGAATAAATATTGTGCAATGACAGAAATAAATTTATTATTTGAAACGTATATCTAATACTATTTTATTAAAAGAACATAATGTGATTATTTTTTAATTTTGTTACAATAGCAGATTATCAGTTTAAATTTTCGTTTTAATTTATCTACTTTTATCGATATTATTTAGACTTTACCCATTTCTTTCGTAATATCAGATAATAAAATTTGTATATAATAAAAATTTTGTAATTGTTTTTATATCGAATTATTTGTATATAATATATATATATATATATATATATATATATATATATATTTATTATTATTTAATTTAAAAGATAAATTAAAAATTTAATTAATCACTAAATAACAACTATAATAAATTTTTATTTTTTGACTTTTGATTAACAATGAAATTTATTCATACTAATATAAATCTTATTAGAATTGAAAGTTGAAATTTTAATTTAATCAAAATTTTTATTTTAACACAAATTATATAAGTCAAATAATTCATTAATATTGAACATATACATGAATAACTTATATAATCATAATTATCTCTTAATTTATTCTCATATATATAAAATATATATATTATTTAATTTCTATGTTCTTTGTATTTTATTTTTTATTATTTTTTTTTATTTCTATATTTGCTTAAATATAATATATATATAGTCAACATGGCATAATATGCTTATATATGTACATATATATAAATATACTACATATGCACGCTTGAATATTGTTCACTTGAATCCGCGTTAACGGAGATTGTAAATTTCCGAATGCTTTCAATGCCATAATGATACCAATTAAGGTAATAACGATGGTTCAGTGAATAATGATGAATATACAAATGTATGATCTTGAATGTTAAAAGAATATATAAATATTTATATTAAAGATTTGAATTAGAGAAAATAAAATTGCGCTTGAGATATTTTTGAAGATTTAATAAGATCCTGAGTTTCAATTTTTTTCTGTTTTGATTAAGAAATTTGGAATCGAAAACAAATTCACAGACAAATATTTAAAGGAAATGAAAATAATCAAAAAAAACTTTAATTGATTAAATTTAATTAAATGAAAAATAAACCGTCTTTAATTCGATACTCATAAAATATCATTTAAAAAAGATTTTATTAAAGAAAATGAAAAAAGAAACTCAAAATGAAATAATTGATAATTTCACGAATATATTGGTAGTAAAGGATTGATTCAAAATAAGAAATTCATTTTGTCGATAAACAATTTTAAAAATTCATACGCATAAATAAGTTTATAACAGTTTATATAGAAGTTTATATTCTTGGTCATTGAGCGCAATTAGATAGAAATTAGAAAAGCTTTATTAAAAAAAATGTTTTTAATTCAAAAATAATTTTTTTGACTCGAACTATAAATAATATATATATACTCAACATATGAGTTGCATAGTTAATAATATGAATTTATAATCTAGATACAATTTTAAATGTATCCAATAGACATTATGTGTACGAAATGTTTACATTATTATGAATATCTAAACATATGATTATAATAATTATATTCTGTAGTGATATAGCAATGTTGAATCACATTTTTTCTACCAAATATTAAAGAGTTGTTCTTTATATATATAATATACAATATATAAGTATATACATATATATATGTATATAAGTATACAATAAGTATATGTACATTCATGTATACATATTTTTTCCGAAAACAAAGTCAATATAGCACTTGTTTTTGAATTAATTATATTTTAAGATATTTAAGATATTTTATTTGTTGGGAATTTTAATGGGATATAATTAAAAAATTCTATTTATATTTTAATTATTTATTTGAATTGTGTTTAATATAATATTTTATCGCGTATGAATTCAAAAAAAAAACAAAAATATTTCATCTTTATTTCATTCATCACAACATAATAATTACGCAAATAATTTTAGGATATTTTTGCGTGCATTAAACGACATATATATAATATAATATTAAATTACATATATATATATATATATATATATATTAACTATTTATTATTATATGTATAACAATATATGATTAATATATTAATCATATATTGTCATGCATAATGATTAACTTATGTTTTAAAAAGATTGTTGTTCAATATTCGCTTGTTAAGTATATGTGAATGAACATTATTATTTATTTATATATATTTTATATATATTTATATATATTTTTATTATTGTAAGATATTATTTTTAAATGAATATGTATTTGTAATATTAATTATGTATAAAAACTACATAAAATTGATTTAAATCCAAACATTATTTTATTATTATTTATGATAATAAATGATATATGGTAATTAATGAAATATATGATAATATATAATAGTTAATTTTTAATAATTTAAAGCATAAATAATTAATTTTTCTGAAAATATCAAATTAATAGATGTATGTTTCAAAATCTTTTAACAAAGAAACTTTTTAACAAAGAAATGTGATAACAATAAACTGATTATTTTATATAATATATATGAATCATCTTGAAACAATAAAAAAAAAGAATCTTTTGTTTTTTATTAAATATTTAATAACAAAATACATTGTATATTAATATGTATATTATTATATGTATATAATTTTATGCACAATAATATGGAAGTAAAAAATGTTGAACAATATTTTTATTTTTATATTATAAATTTAATAGAAATAAAATTAATAGAAGATATTTGATTTTTTAAAATTATAAATTATAAATTGTATTGATATTTCTTTATTTTATTTCGAATAAGATTGAAAAACTATTACGAATATTTTATTTATTTTATTTAAATCGAAGTTTTAGTCTATGCATCTATAATCTAAATATATTAAATTTTTAATTATCCTATAAAGTTAATCATAAAAATCATAAAATCATAAAAAACTTTATTTATATATTTTTTTTTCTTGTTATATAAAATGTTTTAGAAATTATTTCTTATATATTTAACATTAATTTAAAATATTCAACTTTATAGGATAGAAGTTTTATATTACGAAAGCATCAGGTTTCTAGTTAACCATGATACTGTACTATATGATAAAATATAATCATAATAGCAAACTTATATAGAAATAAGAAATCGTTAAAAATTATCTTCTATATATTTTATATATAATAATTTATAACTTTATTTAAAATTTATAATTAAATTATTATAATTTATTTTAAAATTCATCAAAAAATATTTATTAAAATTTATGTAATTTTCAAACTAAATTATGTAATCTATATATTGTTTAAGGAAATTTATTTATAAATTTTTTTTATAATATATTTTGATAATTTAATTTTAATATGATTAGTAAATGACAATTCTCAATCAATATTCAGATTAATTATTATTAAAGTATATTTTCCTTTCACATAAAAGAAATTTTCGTTATAATAAAAAATTTTCAATAATATACATATAATTTCTATTAATTATTATCTGCCTTCATTACATTATATATTTATTCAATCTTACTCACAAACATTTGATAAGTGTTCTTGCTATTATTTCTAATTTGTTTATTTTAAGCTTGACCTAGTTATGAGATTTATTTGTAGTATGATCAAGTTTATGCAATTTTTACTATTGATTTTATAAATTTTTTTAAATATTTTAAGTAAATATAATATAATTATATTAAATTAATTTATAATTTATAGATTAGATATAATAAATAAAATTGCATTTATATATGCAATTATATATGCCAAATATATAATATGTTATATTTATTTTGTCTATTATAAAATTATAATAATTATGATTCATATGTTTCATATATTTTTATCTTTTTTCATTTACATTATTTTTTATTATCCATTTAAATACTTCACAATTATTATATACTAAATTAATAACAATATATGAAAAAAAATTAAAATTAGGAATTTAAAAATTAAAAATTTATAAAAATAAATTATTTAAGTTGACAATATATAAATATAATTTTCTATAGATACATATTACATTTTAATATTCTAATAATCAAAAAAAGATATTTATAGTTTAATTATAATATGAAATCATTGAAAAAAATTTGTTTAACAAATATGCAATATGCAAGATATATAAAATATAAGATATAAGATGTATAATATCAAAAGTCATAAATTGAACTATAATACTGAAAAAACTAATTATTTAAGTTTATGATATTATATATCTGGTAGATATGTAAACAAAGGAGTTCACTCACCGAGGGGTAAATCACAAAGAAGACAACAAGCAGCGATAGCACCAACCGATGCACCACTAATCTTATCCAAAAGTAAGTGTGGAGCATATTTCTTAAAACACACTGCCACACCAACATGATAAATACCAAGGAAACCACAACCAGCAAATGATAAATTCATTTCGGAATTCCCTTATTTGTTATATTATTTATTGTTACTTTATTTAAATCGATTGTTAAAAATAATTGTACAATAGATAAAAAAATACTGATTTTTTTTTTAACACTATGAACATTACTTATAAAGGAAGCGTTTTAAACGATGTACTTTGCACGATGTCCACATTCGAACTATTAGTAATCCTTTCCGACAACAACATTGTCCCGAAACTCTCAAGTCTAATCTTAAATACGATTGAAAAAAATACATGCTTACATATAGCTAGAGTGATAATACACATTTGATGATATGCGGTTTGTAAATACTTATTGAATTTTTCATTGGTTGATTACGATGGTATGGTGATAGCTCCGCCCATTCAGTGTTCTTAAACTCATTCAATGTTTAATAGTTTTACAGGTGCACGTGTTTTCTCAACAAAATGACTTCTCCAGACGCGATTGTGTCATTTGAATAAGCAACATAATATATTATGACAAATATTATGATAATTTAGTAATAAAATAATTAAATTTTTAATGACAATTTAATGTTTCTTATATAAAAAAATTTTATTTTTATATATAATTTTACATAAAATTTATTTAAAATATTACATTACAACTTAAAAATCATATCGTTCAAATTAGAAAATTAAAAAATTTTAATTTTTAATTTTCATATTTAAAATTTTAATAAATGATAATTATATAATAAATAATAAATAATCTATGAAATTTTAAATTAATAAATCATAAAAATATTATCAAATTTATTAATTTATTTTAACATTATTTTAACTAATTTATTTTAAATTATAATAAGAAAAAAATTTGATCAAATGATTATTTAATAAGTGTTTAATCTTTATTTAAGCTATTTAATCTTTAAATTAAATTGTTCAATTGATTTATTAATGATTAATAGAAAAATTAAAATTAAAATTCAATTTTATATTAAATAATAAATATTAAAATAAATATTTGTAAATGTATAAATTATTTTACATTTAAATTAATTGGTCAATGACCTAGAATCTATTTAGGATTGGTTAACTTTATAAATGACAGTTGATTATGAATTGGTATGCTTTTTTAAGTATTTTGTATTGTATATAAAAAAAAATTATAAATTATTAATTTCATATATAATATTCATAATGTAAATGCCTTTTACATTATATTCAATTGTTTACTAATCTGAAAATTAAATTTAGCTTTGAATAATTTAGTTATCATACAAGTTTCTTATTTTCTTGTAAATTTATATTTTGTAGTTAATTTAAAGAAAACAAAAAATTATATACAGAATTATTAAGATTAAGTTAGACAAGTTAAATTCAATAGCTTGATATATTTTTGACACTTTCATATATGATACATAACCAATAAATAATTATATGATTTAAAAATAATTAAAAATAAAAAAAAACTAAAGAAAAAAAATGGATGAAACAGAACAAATATCAGAAACATTACATATGATTCATGGAAATTCTAATACATTAAATGAAATAATTTTTCATGCAGTATATATACCTGAAGAAAATCTTAATTTTTCAATGGAAAACAATATTAAAGGTAAATATATAAAAATAATAATTTTTTGTCTAGTTTAACTTTTTAATTTATTATTTAAATATAATATATAATTTTTATTTAAATATTATAGACAATATTCGAGTATATCAAGATAAAGCAGAAGCATTAAAAGTAATTAAGGAATTTAAGACTGGTCGTTTAAAATCATTTAAAATACGATCAGAAGCTGAAGAATATGCAAAAACTGGTTTTGAAAAAGCAAATAATATAAATAGTACCTCAATAAATACAACAATATCTATAATAGAAGAAAAATCAAATAATTTTAAAGCTCCAAGATCTCAAGATCTTGTATGTTTTAGAAAGTTAATTAAAGATGGAGATCTATATGCTGTAAAAAATACAGTATGGGGAAATCCACGATATTTAATTGGTAGTGGAGATACACCTGCAATTCTGCAAGTAAATCATAACTTATAATCATGTTTAGGAAATATATAAATTGTTTAATATACAGATTATTTAAAAATTTCATTTATTTATTTATTATAGGAAGGATGCCGCTATAATGCATTACATATTGCAGTTAGAGCAGATAGACCTGATATGTGTGAGTTAATATTAAACACTGTTGGAAATACAGATTTTATAAAGTTACTTTATGGTGATGAATGCAAGAGTTATGTAGATCGTGCACAGATTATATTAGATTTATATTTAAATACACCTGATAAGGGATTGAATGAAACTCCATTACATTTTGCAGTTAAATTTGGTTTAAAAAATGTAGTTCGAGTTCTTGTTTCATATCCATGTTGTATAAAAACATTACCAAATAAATATAAACAACTACCAATAGATGTACGTAATAAAATATTTGATATTTTTCTATAAAGAATATTATTATAAATTTTGTTTAATATATATATATATATATGTACAAAAATGTAAATTTATTTTTTATTTATAATTTATTTTCTCTTTATATTCTCTATATTTATATGTATATTTCATCTAAAACATTAATTTAATTATATCTTTGTTGATATTATAGATAATTTGTAGTAGAACGTGTCAAGAAGATGAAGAATTGAAGAAAGAAATACGTTTGCTACTGGAAGATCAATATTATGTACCTGTATTAAGATCAGATGATAATTCATTACAGCCAATGATTGGGGAACCTTTTTCTCCTACTAGTCCTTTGGTATGTTAAAATATTTTAATTTATATTGCATATTTTATGAATAATATTTTTATAGAGTTTAAATACGGATCCAATTAGTCCACGTTTAGAAGTACGTGCATTTGCTGGACCAATGACAAAATCTAGAGCATTAGAATTCAGAAAAAAGTGGAAAACACCTCCACGTCTTTGTATGACTCCAATTAAAAAAACTGATGATGAATCAAATGTTATAGATAGTCCTACTAATAATTTAACTTTGAGATTACAAGATGCAGAAAAAGGTCTTGAACGAGTTGGAAGGTATTATAAATTTTGACTTAAAATTATAATATAAATTATATAAAATATTATTAATTAATAAATTTAAAAAAGAAAATTATATTTCAATTTTTAGAGACTTAGCAGAAGAATATCAAGTATCATGGAAAGAATATTGGCCATTTTTAAATGATTTTGCAGATTTTCGTACTAAAGAAGGTTTAATAAAACTTGAAAAATATTTAGAACATAAATTTCAAGATCAATTATTTCGTTATAATCAGGTATAAAATATATTAATTAATTTTTAAATTAATTTAAAATTGTTGCATTTTTTATACAATTTTTCACAGACTTCAAATAATGTAATTAATTCAAACAAAAATCTAAAAACAAAATTACAAATTGATGAAATAGACTATTTATGTAATAAGTTACAATCATGGTCATTACTTACATCAAATAATCAAGATCAAAATAATGTAGGTAAGTTTTGAATATTTTAAAATAAATGAAATTTATATAGATATATGTGGTAGAAAGTACTTAAAGTAATTTTTTTTTCTATTAGATGAATTAGAATTTTTTACACCACCATCATCACCACAATTAACAATAGATAGTTCTGATGATGAAATGCAAAATGCAGAAGAAGGTTTTGGAACATTTCTTGAAGGGTAAAATATTATATATATATATAAAATTACACATTATAATTACTATACATAATGCTTTATTTATTTTATAGGCCAGTACCAACAAAATTGGATTATGCTGTTTATAATGCAGTGTCAACATTACTTAATTCCATTACATATCCAAATATTTATCGCTGGCAACATGACATGCAACTTACTATGAAACGTGATTTACATAGGTATCAATTTCTTGTCCTTTTGTATTTATAAGAAATGATTAATATTATCTTTTTTTTTTACAATAATATAATATAAATTATTTTTTTTTTATTTTGATTACATATTTATTAATTTTGTACTTGAGAATCAGATTAACATAATTTTTTTCAAAATTTAGTTATATTTATTATATATTTTATATCATTTTTTTCATTCTTTACATTATTTTTATCAGAATAATGACTATTCATTTACATTATATTAAAATAAAAAGATTTAATATAAATTTGGAATTTTAAGTATTTATAACCAAATTAATCCAAGTTCTTTGTAACAATAAAAAAGAGTTTCACATATGTTAATAACTTCAATATTTCTATAAACATATTATCAATTATAAATTTTTAAGTCATAAATTTAATAGATTTTTTTTTTAAATGTTTAATCATTATTGTTTTCTTACCCCACTTATAAATAAAATAAAAAAAATATATAATAAATATATAAATAAAAAAAGAACTCGGATTACTTTGATTCTCAAATACAAAAATAGTCTATTAATTATTATATATTAAAATTTAATTTGTTTTTATTTTCAGAACAAATAATGCGAGAACAATTAGAAGGAAATTGATCATGAATTTTTAGATGATATAAAATTTCAAGATGTTGGACAATGTATAAAATTAAAACTATAAGAATTTTATATATTACGCACAATAAGTTACTTGTTAAATAGTATTAATATACTTCAAAACTTATTTACTGTACTAAAAACGATATATTTTCATAAAATTTTATATATAATTAAAATAATTTATGGAAATTTTATATATTATTTTATGAATTACCACTTACATTTAAATATATATACGTAAGGGTAAAATTAATATTTTTCTATATATCGGCATTAATAATTATGTTACACATTTTATTTTTTAAATTTAATATTTATACGTATAATTGCTATTAATAATCTTTATTCACAATAATATTACATTCTCACTTAACAGATCCTTTATGATCTTTTTTTTTTAATGATATTATTGTAACCTGCATACACTTTTTCACTTGATAGTATGTGTATATATATATATACACACACACATATATATATATACACATATGTATATATATATATTTTTTTTTAAACCAAGTTGTTAATTTAATCAAAGACTGACTGGAGCTGGTGGAGTTTGTTTCAACTGCAAAATAATTGAACGCATTCGGGAAACATCTTTTGAAGTGCGGGAAGATTTAGGATTAAAATCGCAAAGTTTAGCAATACGTTCCCATTCAGTTCCTGGTTCCACTTCATCAGCTTCTGCTACAAATTGTTTTTCTGCATTCCTAAAGATAAATCCATTATGTTATATAAGCTATAACGTATAAAAAATTTAAATGCGACGATACTCAAACATTAAATGCACTAATAACATTGCAGTATATGTATTGAATAATTCTATTTTCGTTTCTTATATATAACATATGTAGCAATGCAATGTTAAAAATTTCTTTAAGCAATTTTTATTTTAATATCATAATGACTTATTATAATATTTAACAATTGATACAAATATACATATATTTACTATTTCTTTTATATTATTTTATAAAATAAGATTTATTTTATAATTTATATAATAAAAAATAAAGATATTTTGCTATTTATTTTTATAAATATAATTTGAAAATAACTAAAAAAATAAAATGTTAATATTTTCTATAATATAATATTTTCTATAATAAAATATCAAAATCTAATTATATTATATTGAATGTCACGTATAGAATAAAGATAAAATAGAAATAAATAAATAAATATAGAAATTAAAAATTTTAATATAATTTATATGTTTATATTTATTTAAACATTTTAATATTATTAATAACAAAATAGTTAAAAATTTAATTATTGTAACACTTATATCATAAATATAATGATATAAACATAATAAAATATTATAATACATATTCTTTTAATTATTAATAGAAATAAATGAAAATATTCTAATGGAAATAAATACATGGCTTTTTGAATAATATGATTAGAAACATTGAAATTTCAAGTATAATTGCATCAAGCACAAAATATACAATTGTTATAAAAAAAAAGCGATTGTTACTAACATATGGAAATATTTAATATTTCTAATATTCTGTAAGTTGCCTTATAAGCTGCCTAAGCAAGCTATATTATACAGCAATGCAATGCAATTATACATGCAAAGAAATATAGTGTAACTTACTTGGCTGATTCCCTAAGAAGCAGAATGAAAATAATATAATTGTATGTAGTACATATTTTATAATTATAAATAAAATATTTATAATTTTATACAGAATAAAACTCTTTTAATTGCATCTACAAATATGCGATTAAAAGTTATATTTTTAAAAAACATTAAAAATGTTATATAAAATAAAACTGAATAGTGTAGCAATTTTAAATATTACCTGTTTGTAGTTTTTGTTTTACTAATTGCTTCTGCATGATGTTTATACCATTCTTCCAATTCTTTTCTTGCAGTTTCTCTCCATTCTTCTTTTTTCTTTTCTTCTTCTGCATCTAAATGTATTGCATATAATAATAATACCATGTAAATATGTATTTTGAAATATATATCAATTTATAATTTTATTACGTGTAAATTAAAATTTTTTATGTATCTTTATAATATCAAATGTATTACAAAAATATCTTTTACCTTTTTCTTCTAATCTAGCTTTTTGTTCTTCTCTCCATTTTCGTATTTTTTCGGGTTCTTCTTTTACTGGCAGAGGTTTGGATACAGTTTCTAAAATGAGTTTTTTTTAAATCTATATATAATATTCATAATAAAATAGATGATTTAAAAAAAGACAATATAATATGATTTACCTATTATTGAAGGTGCTTGTGTTTCAGGAAGTTGTCCAATAGCATCTATTATCTCAAAACTGCCTTCAGCATCACCACCTGGACCAACTTAAATTTCCAAAATTTCATATTACTTACTAAAATTTAATTATATTTAAATTATAAAATTTTTAAATAAAAATACATAATGTAATTTTAATTTATGATTTATAATTACATATTATTATACAAGAATAAAACATTATTTATTAAAAATTTTGATATATTCATAATATTATTAATAATATAAACAAAATTTTTGAAACCAAATAATATAAAAGATTATAAAATAATAACTATTGTTATTTATATAAACTAAATATTATAATTTTATATAATATTAAAAATAATATGATTATTTTTTATAATATCATAATTATAAAAAATATTAATTATAATTACCATCTGTATTAGGTGCTGTTGCAGGAACAGACATAGAAACTGATGGAATTTCATTCTCTAACCCTGCCAATTGATCCTGTTCCCTTGCTACAAATTCTGCAACTGGATCTACTTCTTCATTGACAAAGTTATCACCAAATGCATCCATGATATCTAATAAAATTATCAATATGAATTGACAAAGTTTTAAACAAATTAATATTTTTTTGTATAAAATATTGTAATACAATAAAATATATAATAAAAAAAACAAATTATTCTATTTCGAAAATTTTTTAGAAAATTGAATTATATTTTATTTGTTTATTCAATTTCACAAAAAAATAAATATATTACAACAATACAATTTTTTTTTTCATTCAAACTATCATATTAATATTTTTCAAACATTCATTTTTATTTTAATATTATGTATTTATAGCTTAAATTAAAATATTATAAATTAATTTATTTATCAATCAAATAATATAAATAAAAATAACCTAAAAATATATATCTATTTATTTAAAATATAATTAGATTGTATAAGATATTAAAAATATTTAGATGTATAATAAGTAAGATGAAATACAAACATTTATTTAATAATAACAAATGTCAAAAAAATATTGAATTAAATTTTATACCTCAATAATATATGGAATGTGTAACTTTTATCTTAGGAAACACCCACAACTACCTTTTCGTTAGATTTCTATATAATATCAACTGCAAATTGTCAACGTCAATACTAGTTTAGATTACGCACACATGCGCACAATTAAACGTAATGGAAAAGCAAAAGAAATCAGTATTACCAACTTTTTATTAACATTAATTTATAAACATTAAAAAAAAATATGTTCAAGAATATTTTAGTATTTAAATATTTCAATTATTAAAAAAAATATTATATTACACAAAATTAATAACGTATATTACTTTATTCTTAATATTAATAATAGTCTTTTACATTTTGTGTTTTATAGCATGTAACAGAAAATATATTTTATAAATATTCTATTATGGAATATTTATTTTAAAATTGTTGAAAAATATCTTAAAATCAATTAATGTTATTGAACTATTATTCAGTCATTATTATTCAGTTACAAATTTAAGGCATATTTTAAAATACTTATTTCATTAATTTCTCATAATAATTTAGATTTATCATGTTTTTTTAAAAACATTGTAAAATTATTTTATATGTATTTTATTATATATGATATAAATAATATAATTCAAAAATTTGATATTGCAATCGCAGAAAAATAACATTAAAAACAAAGTTATATATTTTTTAATATAAACATTATAGATGTATAGTGTATCAAACACTTTAATATTTTTTTTCAATATATTCTGCTCAGAGATCATGTCTAAAATTTTGTATATTTCTTTTTAAAAACTTCTTTTGTATATTTCTTATTAAAAAAATATTTATATAAAAAATCAAATATTGAAATTAAATATTCTATATAAATCTAATTAGTTTTAAAATAAAAATTTAATATCTAAATATAAAATCTAAATATTCGTAAAAAATTTTTTTTTAATAACATGATCCATAAAATGTATATACAAATACTATTTTTTATAAATAAGTAAATAAAAAAAAGCAACTAAAAAAATTATTTTTAGTTAAATCATTTTCAATTTTATATATATAAAAAATATGTAAATAAATAGCTATGCAAGAATTGTAAAATAGATAAATGTTGTAATTATTTTAATACATAGAAATATTTCCATCATAATGATGTATATTTTTAATACAATGTCAATAATAAATACAGTTATTATTCTTACACTTTCTATTATTTTATGACAGATCACTGGCAACAAAATTTAGGCATCGTATATATAGAGCAAGTGTTCTGTTAACAATCATCTAAAAAATGCATATAAAAATACAATTCCTAAATAACATAATTTAGAGCTTCATTCGTTAATATAATGATGGAGCTCTAAAAACAGTTATTAAAATTTATCTACAACCTATAATAAGTATAGGTGGTAGTGGAATATGAAAAATAAAGCCAATATGTTTGCTTAAGCTAAACATAGTGACTATATATGCAAATAGAAATTATTCGTACATTTCATTTGTGAAACAATAGCTCAGTCTTGCTCTAATCCCCTCCTTGTCTTACAAAACATGGGATTTATAGTGGGAGGTTCGTTATCTCCAAACATATATAAATTTTTAGATATTTTTATTTTTGTGCAATGCCTGTTGAATACTAGGCATGCTCCTCTTCATCTTCAGAAGTCAATGTGACATTATCAATACGTCGTGGTAATAATAATGCTACATGTCCATATCTAAATAAGAATATATTTGAGACTCAATAAAATATAAAAAAAAATAAATTAATTTAAATATTAATATTTGAACTTACTTGTTGCTTTTGTATTTTTCTTGTATAGCTTGTTGTCGAATATTTAATGCATTATAGAAAGTTTTATTTAAACACAAAATACAATCTTTGAGATCCTTTAAACTATATCCTGTTGATAATTCTAACTCATGTGGCCACATTTCTTCTAATAACGTATGTCGTGCAAGTGCTATTGCAGATGCAGCTAAATGACTAGGTAAAAATTGAAGATATGGATCTCCCTCAAGCATTGATAATTCACAGAGATACTATAGAATTTTTTATGAAAATTAATATATTATTTTATTATTTTAAAAAAATATTATATACTTACCATTGCTAAAAATTTAATTTTTTCAGAAAGATTATTACTAATACAGAATTCCATAAGAAAGGTAAGTGGTGTTGGAACAGTTAGATCAAAAGATAAAACCCTTAATATTAAATGTTCCATACGTAACACATGTTTTTTTGGATATGTGTCATCTGTGATATATACAAATTCACCTACTTCAGGTGGATAAATTTCTTCATATTTTCTAAATTATTAAGATTTCAATCAATAGTTTTATTATTTTATTATATAATAATAACTTTGTAATAATAATTAATTAAATATACATTAAAAAAACTTACGCAGCAATGAACATAGCTGCTGTGCCTACAAGTTGTAATTTTGATTTTACAACACTCATGTATGATAGAAAACGATCTATATATGAAACAGCTAAATAGAGTGTTTCAGTTTGTAATCTATATTCTTCAGCAACTTCTACAAGCCAATCCACTAATATTGACCTCATTGAATATGTTATATCAGATTGTTTTTTCATATATCCTGGTTTTGGTCTATGATGTGTCTAAAATAAAATATTTTTTTAAAGCTATATTGATTATTTTATTAATTATTATTTTAACTTAAAAAAAATTTTAAAGAAATACATACTTCTGCAACACGTAAATAATTATATATATCAGCTCTATATTCATCTACATCAAAAAAATTCATTCTCATTTCTTTAATAGATTTTCTTCTTTTTTGATGATTTTTCTTTGAGGAAGACAAATAAGAAATAGATTTTTCTAAAGACATTGGACTGCCTTGTGAAAAAGTTATTTCATTTTCCTTCTTTTGATTTATATCTTGAATGGCATTATAAAATGTTGGTAAATTTGAGACATTTATAGGATTTACTTCTAACCTTGGTTTTTCTCTTTCAAATGTAATATTTTCTTTTTCTCTCATTCTTTTTTATCTTTTGTATCTCTAAGAGCAACAGAAGTTTCTTCTTCTAATTTATCTTCATAGATTTTAAATATAACTTCTTCCTTTTTTTCTTCATAAATTTTGAAAGCTTCAAAATGTGTGGGTATAACTGCTTTCGTTTTTTGGTATTTTTCATCCTTGTATATTTCCTACAAGAAACAAAATAAATTAATTTATCATTAAAAAAATATATAAATTTAAAAATTATTTTTTATGGTTATTTATTATATATAATAAAAATAACATTAAATTTTTTAGTCTAAAGAAACGCGGGAGAAAAGATAAAAAATCTATACATACTGATTTTATATTACGATTACAATTATTATGAAGAACACCTAAAACTGCACGTTTCGTTGGTTGCAATGTTTGATTTTGAAGGGGCACATTAATATTTTCTTTGCCGCGACGAACATCGGAAATACGATTTTCTTGATCCTCATGTACTCGAATCGTGGCCATTATTTAGTTAAAAATTTTCTGCCAGTTTTTTATATATAAATGAATTCTTCTTTTTTTTCAAATTATTATTAATTTTTAATCACTATGCATGCCTTTTCTTATTACAACGAAATATATTTACCACCTATACATGGCAGACAAATTTCGAAGTTCCAAGCAACTCAACAAACTTCAGTTGCCGTTTGATTTCAAACAAACGTAACTTTAACAGCTGGCGATACGTTAAAAGCGTTGCTCAAATAGACCAATGAGAAAAGAATATATCTTATACATCGGAAATAGACCAATCAGATAGATAATATATTAACTCACTTTCTTAAAATTATCCTTAAATATAGGTGCATATACAATAAAAAATATTATTGTTAAAAAAATTATATATTTTTTAAATATAAAAATTTGTTACTTTATATTTTTTTTATTATATAATATAATATAATATAATATAATTATAATATATAATATTTAATATATAATATAATTATAATATAATAATATAATTATTTTAAATATATATAATTAAATAAATTTAAAAACTATAATTTAATAAATTAAATTTGTATGATTATATTATTTAAAAAATAATATATCTTTTTATTCAATTAATTTTTTATAATGACAATTGGTTAAAAAATTGATAAGAAAAGGAAAACGTATTAAAAAATTCATTCAAACAAATAAAAAATGAAAATCATAAAGATATCATATACAATAATTAAATAAATTATATTTTTTTCATTCTTTTTTGTAAAATTTAATAATATAAATTATAAATAATTTGTAAAAAATAAATATTAATGATATCAAAATATTATGAATTACATTTAAAAAATTTTGAAAATTAAAAATAATAATTATAATAAATAAATTTAGAATTATTATAATAGTCAGAAAAATATTTTTTATTATATAATACGATATTATATAAAGAATATAATGTATATATACATATTCTTTTTATATAATTTTTACTTTTAATATTTAGAGTATTGAAATTATAAACTTGTTTGTATAACTTAAAGTTTGTTGTTCATGACTATTGAGATCAAGCTTTTCGGTGCTATTACTATTTGCAAGGTAAAGAGTTTATTTGCTTACAAGTTCGTAATGTTTACACGATATTTGCAACAATTATTAATTCCGTAATTGGTTTCAAATAAAAGTTTAATACGATAAAATTAAAAAATATATAATTTGAGTATATATTCCATATTTTGCGTATAAACAGTGTATAAAGTTAAAGTTTTAACCTCATAAATAAAGCTTCGCATTTAACGAAATACTGATTGTTTACTACTTAATATCATAAAAGTGATTTTAGAAGATTTGCATCGAAAATAACATGAGTCCGTTAAACCGAGGACCCTTGTTAGGGCCAAGAGTTCCACCTGCTGGTGTGCGACCTCCACCACCTCCGAGATTTGGTGGTAGACTTCCACCTCCTGGTTTACCTCCAAGAATGCCACCACCTCCGATGAATCCAGTTTTTGGACCAATGCGACAAAGATTACCACCGCCACCACGACCAGGTGGAGTAAATCGACCAAGTGGACCGATGCCATTATTTGGCCCACGAGTTAGAGCTATGGCTCCAATGGTTCCACCAATGGGCTTAAGAGGTGTCGGACCTAGAGGACCATTGATGAGGCCTTGGCACAGAAGAGCATTACCACCTCAAATTTTATCTCATATGAGACCAAGATTTTCTGTAAGAAATGGCAATGTTAAAGGGAAAGCAATGAATAATGCAAAAAAAAGTTAGTAAACTTGAAGTAAGTAATATTTTTCACTTTTTGATATTTACAAAATGCAACTTGGATAATAATTTTATTGTTTTATAAGAATAATTATGTTATATATAATAATAATTGCATGATAATGGAAATATAATCAATAAACTTATTTATTTGATTATTTCTTTATTCAGATATAATTTATATTTTAATTAATAATTATTTATCAAACAAATAATTATTATCTATTTAAATTATATATACTTTTAATTTGCTTGAATTTTTCTTTTGTATTTAAATGCAATTTGTCTTTGAAATACAATATTTAAAATAAATATATGAGTCAAATTAAAATTAGTTAATTTTTAACTTTTAAATTTTAGTTAATAACTACTGAAATATGGAAGAGAAATCTAATCAGATTTATTATATTTATTGACAATGAAAAATATAATTTATTAAATTATATACATATAATATCTTAGTACATGAAAACAAAATTACAAATAACAAATTTAAAGATATTATTTAAATTCTTATAAAAAAATATTACAATCATTTAGGAATTAGAACTAAAAAAACCATGGATGACTGATGAAATCCGAAGTGAAATACAAAAAAAAAATAAGCTATATGCTAAAGCAAAAAAGAATAAGGATGCAAAAGAATGGGAAGAATTTAAGGATTTAAGGAATAAAGTGACAAGGATGATCAGAGATGCTAAAAATGATTATCTTGCAAAACATCCTGAACAGGTATCTTTCCATTTAATTTTTATACATATACTTGTATATACTTTTTGTACATATGAATTTGTAGATATAAAATGAAAATTATTATTAAATTTTTTATTTATACTTTTTTCTGATTATGATAATTATATATAATATATTTTTCTGATTATAATAATTAAATATATATATATTTATATATTTTTAAATATGTCATATATAAATTACTTAAAAAGCATATTTTAAGTAATTTAATACATAATATTTAATTACATAAATGAAAAAGTTATAATTCATGTTAATCAATATAATTTTTTTGTTTATAATAATTTAAAATTAATTAAAATTTAAAAATAGATATTTAATTTAATATTTTTTTGAACAAATCTTTTTTAGTATATATAATATTCATTATATGATATATATTATAATTAAGTAAATAACATCATTTTATTTACATAAAATTATTTACATTTATATACAATATATTTTTATGTAATTCAAAGTTTTTTTATTGAATATTTTATTTTTAAAATTGTTATTTAATAATTATCATATGAATTATACATAATATATTAATTTCTTTAATATATTTTAATATGTATGTTATATTTAATTATAATGAAAATAGTATACTTAATTGAAATGGAAAAATCAAAGATTTTTTATTATAGAAATAAGTAAAAAATAATTTTATATGCTTTTATAATAATTATTTTTTTTTAATTTTTTTCCTATTTATGTACATTAAGTTAATAATTAAAGATTGTATCTTACATATCATTGATAAAATAAAATTCTATTTTATTTCTTTTAGCAATTTACAGTAAGTATCTCAGTATAATCATCAAAATAATTTAAGATTTAAAAGTATAAATATAAGTAAGTTAAAATAAAATATTAATAATAATAAATATATTAAAAAATTGATTAATTTATGAGAGATGATTTCAGTAATATATCTAATTTATTGTATAAAATAATTTATATATAATATACAAAAAAATATTATATTTATCATTTATAAATTATTATAATTTATAAAGAAAAAAATTATAGAATTTTTTCTTTTTCTTATATATAAAAATTTAAGAGATAAATATAAATATTTTTTTATGATATTTGAATAGTTTATAAATTTGATTATAATTATAATACTTTATTTAATTAATATATTTATTTATTTTAAATTTACTTAATATATTTATTTATTTATTGTAATCAAAATATTAATCGTATTACTTAAATTAATAATATATTTTTGAAATATATATATTAAATATTTTTGAATTATATTTATTTAATAATGAATTTTTAATTTTGGTAGTGATTTTACTAAATTATTTATATTCAAAATAAGCATTATTTGCACCACTACGTTTAATTGGCATTATGTAATTAATTTCATTGCATTCCTGTCATAGTTGATAAATTACTTTGATTATAGGGTGCTCAAAAAACAGATGATAAGAATACGATCGAATCCGAGGGTGTTCAGAAAACTGAGAATGCGACTGAGCAATCAGAGCAAATGGAGCTAACGGAGGAGATGCAGCCTTCCAGCGAACAAGCACAGTCTTAAGCTTCAGGCTACTCCTCCTATAAAGAATTACACAAGTATTCTGTTTTCAAACTTCAGAACGATTTAATTCCTTCTTCTTTTAACATGTAGTATATTGCAAAATCGAAATATTTGTATCATTTTTAATTACAAAATTTGTATTAACCGTTCTTTTGTCATTTGTAAAATATCATTTCTTTGCAATATAATTTTCTTTAGCATTTATATTATAAGTGCATGCTGCTAGATTATCACGATAATTATTTTGAGAAAATAGAGTTTAATATTATTGAATAATTGAATAATAATTGAATAACAAATATTCTCTTTCATTTTTCAGTAATACTTATACAAAACTGAACTATTTTTTTTTCTCTTATAATTCATTAGTATATGCTTATAAATGTAAAATTTTGTATATTTCTTATATATTTTCATGTTAAAGATACTATAACTTCTATAACTTCTTTTCATAAAATTTATACAAAAATCTGGCGTTTGTTAGTTTTGTTATTATAAAGCTCTTTAATTGCTCTTTGGCCAGAATATACAGTGCTGCGAGCTATTATATTCTTAATAGAAAATTTCATGGAATCACTAAAAAATGTTCTGATATATTTATTAAAATATGTATTCTATTTAATAAATTAAAAAATAAATATTTTCTACATAGCTTGTGGCTCTGTATTGAAATATGACAATTTTTGTAATTGTTTATTATGTGTCATAATATTGAGAATACATTTTATTAATTTCAATAATACATGACTTCCATGAAATATAAATTCAGAATAAAATAAATTTGTAATTAAGATACATATTGTAAGAATAAATCGTATTTCTATAAGTTCTAAATCTGGTGTCCCCAATTACTTTATAAACCACTAAAAAAAAAAATTCTTATATGCGTTGAATAATCGTTCTGAAATATGAAAATGATCTAGATTGTTTGTATCAAATGAAAATATTGTTCTCCTAAAATTTTTATTAATTATATATGTTTTATACTGTTGTATAAAATAAAAATATTTATAATCTTCTTCATTAATATCGTATAAGTAAATTTATCAGATTTATAATATTAAATTTGTTTTTATTTTTCAAAAT